AATCACTTATTTCGAGTTTTTCTACCGGGAAAATGTGGTTTTCTTTCGTAAAACTCTTTGCAACATAATGCTGGTCACCTAAACATGGCTGCGAAAAGACGGTGTGAATTCCCGAAAATTTAATTAAGAAGCGAATTCAAGCTCTGGGTATACCACGAGTGTACCGTATTGAATATTTATACTATTCGATTCCTGCAACGAAAAAGCTTCGTTAGCACATCCCTGACTTAACTGCGCCGCGTCACAAAAGCTCTCCTGTCTGTACGCGTGCTGTGTTCTCTGGTGTTTTGTGTGTGTTTGTTAGCGAGATTCATCATCATCATCATATTCTTCATCATCATCATTAGCCTGACTACGTCCACTGCAGGACAAAGGCCTCTCCCATGTTCCGTCAGTGAACTCGGTCCTGTGCTTGCTGCTCCCAATTTATACCCGCAAACTTCTTAATCTCATTTGCCCACCTGACCTTCTGTCTCCCCCTAACCCGCTTGCCTTCTCTGGGAATCCAGTTGTTACCCTTAATGACCAGCGGTTATCCTGTGTACGCGGTACATGCCCGGCCCATGTTCATTTCTTCTTATTTTGACTATGATATCTTTAATCCCCGTTTGTACCCTAATCCAATCTGCTCTCTTCTTGTCTCTTGAGGTTACACCTACCACTTTTATTTCCATTGCTTGCTGCGTCGTCCTATATTTAAGCTGGACCATCTTTGTAAATCTCCAGGTTTCTGCTCCGTAGCTCAGTACCGGCAAGATGCAGGTGTTATATACCTTCCTCTTGAGGGATAGTGGCAATATATCTCTCATAATTTGAGAGTGCTTGTGCGAATAATACAACTTAAAATTGGTATGAATGATGTGCGTGCTATTCCTTTTTCCCCTAAGTAACGTTCGCATCGTAATATTTTGGCTGCATAATATTTTTTGGGGATATTGTGTGCGATCGCTTATATAGCAACAGTGGCGGTGTGTAACAATGAAGAATGTGGTTTTTAAGTTGTTGCAGCAACAAACGCGTTCGCTCTTCTAAGTAGTTTTAGCCGTCAGTCTTCTATTTCGCGAAGAAAGATGACGTGTTCTTACCCAGGCCGCCAGGCCCACGGCCTGCTGCTCCACCTGCTCCTCCGAGGTTAACCCCACCAACTGGTGAAAACAGACATAACATGAGGCCAGGGACTGTGAAACTTCACAAAGTACTGTGCGTCTAGTTTATTTTCAGGCCTCTACCATTATTCAGTTATACACTGTGTTTGGGACCTATACGGGGCGCTTTGAGAGCCGCGCGCAGCATCCCTTGTGGTGTGGCGTGATGCGCAACGTATACACAGAATCGTATGGCAGACAGGAGCTCCTCATTATTTTACAGCTGTGGTGGCAAAAGCATCCATGGCCGGATCATCGGTTCTTCGAGCAGGGTTTTAAGATATTGTAAAGAGACATCCTTCTGCAATGGCACTATGAATAAATGGGAAAACCTGCACGAAAGTGGCCACATTGAGCGCCTTGCTGCCCTTCGTCAGTACTGACGGCAAATGCTGCGTTAGGTGTGTGCAATGCAGAATGCTTGCTTAGTAACTGTCGCGGTAAACTGTCATTTTTTCGCAGTTTTGATATTATTGGTGCGTGCCCACTAACCACGTACTTGCAGAATACTCGGAGCATTTAGAAATATTGATGGCTCTATCACCATTCGCCCTGGAAATTATGGTGAGTGGCCGCAGGCGTTTGTTGCGGCTTTGGGCCACGTGGATTTTCAGCCACCGAGTCTCGCGAATTGTTTGGCTTGAAATTGTTGCGGCATCATCCTCGCTCATTGGGATCATGGTCTTTACCTCGCCGTTCACACCGCTTTGCTAAGAGCTCAAGGCGCGGGCAAGAAAGAGAACAAGCTACGATTTTGGCCAGAGAGGACTTCGCAGCCCCGTTTTGTGCTTCGCTTCACATTATAAAGTGGCGACCACTTCGGCCATGGTCACTTCGGCCACCGTGCGTATTTCTCATTCACTAGAACATCTTGCGTTATTTATGTTGTTTTCTGAAACGCATATCATTCGTTACAGCATTGACGTTTCTCACTTTGTAGTTCTGCTTCTCTTTGCCCTTCATCATGTCTTCCTGACATGCTGATTGTTTAACATTTAAAGAACAATACATTTAGTTGAACCAATCTGAATGATGCGATTCAATATATCATTTCCGGGGGATCTTTTCTTTGGAGCTACAGCACTATGCCTGAGCCAATGAAGCGTTTGCGATAGCGTATGCCATTTGCTGCAATTTTTCAAGTACTTAACGCCTCATTGTATATAGATTCAGATGACGTTGGCATTTTTCCGAAATTTTAATACCGGTCTCGTCAAGAGACACTTCGTATATAAGGAGGCCAGTTCATTTTTTTTTACACTATCTCTTCGCCATCTTACAGCAGATTCGTTGTTACGTTGTCCTCACCAGCTGCTTTGCCTCTTCGCAGAGGTAAAGCTTTCATTGCTTCCCCTTTCGTTACTGGTCAGCCCTTTTTATGCGTCACCTTTGATCTTCACCCTTTTGTTCTCTAAAAAATCAGAATTTAATATTGTATTTTCCTTGCCCGCCAAAATTTCACCATTTGTAGCTATCGATTTATTACATGCACCACAATAAGAACAACTATTCAATGAATGGCTGTAAATTTTGGGTACGGCTATTTAAGAAACTAAGAAAGCATTCATTGGAACAATTAAAAAGCTTTTTACGCTACCTCCAAGACCACTGCCCAGACCAATGGCAGGAACGCCGACTCCAACACCACTGGTGCCAACGCTACCACTGGTGCCAAGGCTACCACTTGGACCAACCCCAACACCGGTGCCAAGGCCAACACCGGGGCCAAGGCCGCCACTACCGCCAATTCCACCAGTGCTGACGCCCGCACCTACAGAGCATATACCACGATCAAGAAAAGGGGTGTTTACTTTACATGCGCCACTTTCCAGACCTTTCTTTTGGTGACTTGTCAGGCTCAGAACAAAAAAAAAAAAACAAAAGATAATGCATACGAAAATACTAAGTTATTGGTAACAAAAACATTCATAGAGCCCTATGCAGGCAATGTGACGTAGGTATTTAGGCTTATTTAAAAAGCAAGACAAATGTGACATGTAGTTCAAAATCTGAATATATTTCCCTATTTAGGCATAATTCGCTACAAGAACTGGACGTGCCTCTAGACTAAATTACGAAAACACGTCAAATGCCGCATAAGGTGGCGAGGAAGCCTCAAAATACCTGTTCATAAATATATTCATCTGTGAGCCCCAAAAGCTCCCACCTTGCCGGCACAATCATTATAATAGCTGATTTCGAGGTTTCTCTTCCGGGAAAACGTGATTTTCCTTCATGAAACTCTTTGAAACATAAAGCTGGCCAATTAAACACGGCTGCAAAAACACGGGGCGAACGCTCGAACAGTTCAATAAGCAGTGAATTTAGGATCTAGGAATACCAGGAGTGTACCGAATTGAATATCTGCTATTGAATTTATGCAACAAAAAAAGATTCGTTGGCAATTCCCTGACGGGAGTGCGCCGCGTCACTAAGCTCTGCTGTCTGTGCGCGTCCTGTCTTCCCTTGATTTCTGTGTGCGCTTGCTATGGCGCAGTTAATATATTAAAATGTGTATGAATGATGTGCGTGCTATTCCGTTTTCCCCTAGGTAACGTTGGCATCGTACACAAGGAGGCCGCATAACATTCTTAGAAACATTAAGTAGCATCGCTTATATAGCAATAGGCGCGGTGTAATAAACTTGAAATTACGTGTTTTCAGTTGTTGGAGCAACAAACGTGTTCTCTCCTCCAACTAGTTTTAGCGATTACTCTTCGATTTCACAAAGAAACATGACGTGTTCTTATCCAGGCCGCCGGTGAAACCACCTGCTGCTCCGCCTGCTCCTCCGATGCTAACACCACCAGCTAGTGAAAGAAGGCATAACATGAGGCTTGAGACAGGGAGGCTTCATAAAGTACTGTGCGTCTAGTTTATTTTCAGGAGTCTTATTATTCAGTTATACACTCTGTTTGGTACCTATAGGGGATCTCCCCGCCATCTTTCAGCAGGTCTGTTGTTACTTTATCCTCACCAGCGGATTGGCCTTTTTGCATTCCTTCTAGAAGTTTCAACACTGCCCCTGTCGTTACTTGCCAGCGCTTTTAGGCGGCGCGTTGGATCTTCTCTTTTTCTTCTCTTTCCCCTCTCTCTCTCATCTTTATGCTCCCATTCGCATTCCTCCAGCGTAGGGTAGCAAAGCGGGCTTGTGCCTGGTTTACCTCCCTACTGTGAGAGACGCACGCAGCGCCAATTGTGCTGCGGCGGGCGCGCTACGTACAGAATCGTATGGCAGACAGGAGCTCCTCATTGCTTTGACAGCTACATGGTGGCAAAAGCATCAGTGGCTGGCCCATCGGTTCTTCGAGCAAGCAGGAAGGGAAATAGGAGGAAAAGAACGGCAGGGAGGTTAACCAGCCTATAGGCAGCCGGTTTGCTACCCTGCGCATGGGAGGGGGATGGGGGAGAATAATGATAGAGAGGAGAGAGGGAAGAGAGATAAACACAGCACGTTCGGCAGCACACGCGCGCACACTCATTGTCCAGTCTTGTCTTTCACGGTGTGTGACATCGCTATTACAGGCGCTTGTTCAAGTCCGTGTCACGTAGGAATTTCAACAGAGCTTTTGTCACTTTCTGTTGCAATGTCTTTTCTCCGGAACTTGAAAGAATAGTGTCCACAGACATTTGGCTGTTGTCGATGCACGCAAGCAGGATTTTAATATATCGTATGGTGACATCCTTCTGCAATTGCACTATGAATAAATGAAAAAACCTGCAGGAAAGCAGCCACATTTGCCACGTTTGTGAGTGCGTTGCTTCTCTTCGTCAGTACTGATGGCAAGTTCGAGCTTCAGGTGTGTGCAGTGCAAGATGCTTGCTTCATAACTGTCGCGGTAAGCTATCATTTTTTCACACTTAGGATATTAATGGTGCTTGCCCACTACCCGCTTACTTGCAAAATGCTCAGATCATTAGAAATATTGATTGCTCTAAGGCCATTTGCCTTGGAAATCACGGTGCGTTGCCGGTGGCGTTTGTTGCAGCTTCGTGCCTCGGTGATTTTCAGCCACCGACCTTTGCATACGCGTCTGCCCATTCACTGACAATTCTTTTTTCTCTACCTTTCTCTTCTCTTTCCTCTCTCTCTCATCTATATACTCCCCCTTCCCATTCCCCCAGCGTAGAGTAGCAAACCGGGCATGTGCCTGGTTAACCTCTCTGCCTTCCCTGTTGTTCTTGTCCTGCCAGTCTCGCGAATTGTTTTGCTTGAAACTGTGGCGGTATCATCCTCGCTCATCGTGATCATGGTCTTTGCCTCGCCGCTCGCGCTGCTTTGCTAAGAGCTTAAGATGCGGGCAAAAAAGACGACGTGCAATGGTTTCGGCCAGAGAGGACTTCCAAGCCCCATTTCGTATTTTGTTTCACATTTTAAAGTAGCGACCACTTCAGCCATGGTCACTTTCACCACCGTGCATATCTCTCATTCACTAGAACCTCTTGCTTTGTTTATGTTGTTTTCCGTAATGCACATTCATCGTTACAGCATTGGCGTTTCTCACTTTGTAGTTCTGCTTCTCTTCGCCTTTCATCATGTCTTCCTAATATGCAGTTTGTTTAACATTTAAAGAGCAATACTTTTGTATAAACCAATCTGAATGATGCGATCCAATATATCATTTCCGGGGAATCTTTTCTTTGGAGCTACAGCACTAGGTTTTAGCCAATGAAGCGTTCGCGATAGCGTCTGCAATTTACTGTAATTTTTCGAGTCCTTAAGGTCTCTTTTTTCATTGATTGGAAGGATGTTGGCGTCTTTCCAAAACTTTGGTACTGGTCTTGTCAAGAGTGACTTTGTATATAAGGTGGCCAGTTTTTCTAACACAATCTCCCCATCATCTCACAGATGGTCCATTGTTACGTTATCCTCAACAGCCGCTTTGCCTGTTTGCAGAGGTAAAGCTTTCATTGCTTCCCCTGTCGTCACTGGTCAGCATTATTTATGCATAGCCTTTCATCTTTGTTCTTTCCTTCTCTCAAAAGTGAAAATTTATTTTTCTATTTTCCTTGGCACTCAAAACTTTGCCATTTTAGTTTTCGTTTTATTACAAGCTCGACATTCAAAATAGCTATTCGAAGAATGACTGTAAATGCTGGGTGCGGCTATTAAGAAAGTACGGAAGCACTCATTAGAATAATAAAAAAATCTTTTTACGCTACCTCCAAGACCAACGCCAAGACCAGCGCTAGGAGCACCGACTCCAATGCCACCAGCACCAAGGCCAACACTGGGGCCAAGGCTACCACCAGCACCAAGGCCAACACTGGGACCAAGGCCAACACCGGGGCCAGGGCTAGCACCAGCGCCAAGGCTACCACTGGTGCCAAGGCCAACACCGGGGCGAAGGCCGGCACTGCCGCCAATGCCACCAATGCTGGCGCCTCCACCTACAGAGCATATAGCATGAACACGAAAAGGGGTGTTCACATGCGCCTCTCTCCAGACCTTTCATTTTGTGACTTGTCAGGCTCAGCACACACACACACACACACACACACACACACACACACACACACCACACACACACACACACACACACACACACACACACACACACACCACACACACACACACACACACACACACACACACACACACACACACACACACACACACACACACACACACACACACACACACACCACACACACACACACACACACACACACACACACACACACACACCACACACACACACACACACACACACACACACACACACACACACACACACACACACACACCACACACACACACACCACACACACACACACACACACACACACACCACACACACACACACACACACACCACACACACACACACACACACACACACACACACACACACACACACACCACACACACACACACACACACACACACACACACACACACACACACACCACACACACACACACACACACACACACACACACACACACACACACACACACACACACACACACACACACACACACACACACACACACACACACACACACACACCACACACACACACACACACACACACCACACACACACACACCACACACACACACACACACACACACACACACACACACACACACACACACACACACACAAAACAAGAGATAATGCATACAAAAATACTAAGTTATTGGGAACAAAAACATTCAGATAGCCCTATGCAGGTACTGCGAAGTAGGTATTTAGGCTTATTTAAAAAGCAAGAGAGATGTGACATGTAGTTCAAAATGTGATTATATTGTCACGGCTAAAGGCCGGGCCAGAAGACAGAGGACGACGACGTGATGAGCGTGGACAAGACCCACGGTTCCTCCGAGGAAGACGGCGTCGAAGCGGCTGCTCTTTTGTTCTGTTAATACAGACCTCGTTTTTCCTGGTCGCACCGTCGTCCTGTATCCTGTTATTTTCACCTCGCGGCAATATTTCACTATTTAGGCATAATTATTCGTTACAAGAACTGGACGTGCCTCTTGACTAAATTAGAAAAACACGTGAAATGCCGCATAAGGTGGCGAGAAAGCCTCGAAATGCCTGCCCATAAATATATTCATCTGTGATCCCCAGAAGCTCCAGCCTTGCCGGCACAATCATTATAATCGCTTATTTCAAACCTTTTCTACCGAGAAAACGCGGTTTTATTTCTTGAAACTCTTTGCAACATATTTGGAGCTGGTCACCTAAACACGGCTGTGAAAACACAGGGCGAACTCTTGAACAGTTCAATAAGAAGTGAATTTCAGTTCAAGGAATACCAAGAGTGTACCGCATTGAATATCTGCTATTGAATTTCTGCAACAAAAAAGCTTCGTTAGCACATCTCTGACGGGACTGCGCCGCGTCACTAAGCTTTGTCTTCCCTTGATTTCTGTGTGCGCTTGCTATGGCGCAGTTAATAGAACTTAAAATGTGTATGAATGATGTGCGTGCTATTACGTTTTCCCCTAGGTTACGTTCGCATTGCAATGAGGCTGAATAATATTTTTTTTAAATATTGCGTGACATCACTTTTATAGCAACAGGGGTGGTTTTTTTACAATGAGGAATATGATTTTTTAAGTTGTTGCAGCAATGAAAGTCTTCACTATTGCAAGCATTTTTAGCCGTTAGTCTTGAATTTCGTGAAGAAAGATGACGCGTTTTTACCGAGGCCACCAGTCCCACTGCTTGCTGATCCTTTTGCTCCTCCGAAGCTAACACAAAACATGAGGCCAGAGACTAGGAGACTTCATCAGGTACTGTGCGTCTGGTTTGTTTTCGTGCGTCAACCATTATTCAGTTATACATTGTTTGGGACGTATAGTGTTCGCTTTGAAAGCCGCGCGCTGGAGAAGTGGACACAAACCTCCCGTTAGAACTTTCTAATGGAGACAAGGTACTTTTTCTAACAAAATACCGATATCAGGGGGTGACCATAGGCAAAAGAGAAGGCCCATTGTCGGGGCACGAGAACTGATTGCGACAAACCTCAAAGCGCGCAAGCTGCATTCTGCGCCGGGGAAGACTCTGGGGCTGCAACAAATATATATTGGTGCGAGGTCTGTGGAAATCTATCAATGTAACATGTCTGATCTTTGCAAACGTTATTATATGCCTGTCCAGCAAGACCCATGAGTGGCTGACGTGAGGCCAAAAGGAGGCGGGCCGTTTGGCATTGAGCTGCCATGGAAAGGATGCAGTGGAGGCCATCCAGGGGGACAGGGGTTGGTCTACGTACGAGGCGCAGGAAGCCACGGGCCAGATCGTTTATGAAGAATGCCTATACGCTTCACGAACGATCAGCGGTGGGCCCATCGTAATCGTGGGACTTAGAACACAGTGGTCGAACACAGTCTACTTTTTTCGATGCAAATACGATATGTTCGACCTTTCAACAATCGAGACCACGGAGCGCAACTTTTTCCTCAGCAGCCCGAAAACAGATACGCGAAGTGGAGAATGGCCCCGCCACGGTGGTCTAGTGGCTAAGGCTGCTGACCCGCAAATCACGAGATCGAATCCCGGCTGTGACGGCTGCATTTCCGATGGAGGCGGAAATGTTGTAGGCCCGTGTACTCAGATTTGGGTGCACGTTAAAGAACCCCAGGTTGTCAAAATTTCCGGAGCCCTCCACTACGGCGTCTCTCATAATAAATTACTGGTTTTGGGACGTTAAACCACACAGCTAAATCAATCAAGTGGAGAATGCGCAATGACAAATGTCGATGCAGCAGAGGAGTACACTTCAGCTCTATCATACACACAAAGAGTCTATTGCGCCGATATCTGTGTATGACAACAGTGGTGGAAGTAGGCTACTGTTTGAAGCGCGCGCGGGAGCGCTTCACACGCTCACATACCACATCCACTTCGACCAAAACATTCACTCGACCCTCTGCAGAGCGTGCGGAGCGGAACGGGAGACAGTTCACAGTATCACAGTGCTACAATGCCAAAATCTCTCTCCCTGCCCACCTGGGGTCACTACACTACCTCAGGCACTGGCCTTGACGGACAGGAATGCAAAAGCAGTATCCATCACTATATATAGGCTCCAACAATGGTGGAAGAGGCGCCAAAAGTCAACTCTCCTTTGTGCTTTCAATCTCTTTTTTTTTCTTTTGTTCATTTCTCTTTATATACATAGGCTGGAACACAACATATGTGTTCACCCGTTATAAAGGGAGAAGTCACAAATCACCATTATCAACAGCCCCACCAGCAGCAGCGCGACTTGCGGTGCGGCGGGTGCGTAACGTTCAAAATAGTATAGCAGACAGCAGCTCCTCATTGCTTTGAGAGCTATGGGGGTGAAAGCGCCCGTGGCCGGTGCGTTGGATTTTCGAGCAGGATTTTAAGATACCGTAGGGAGACATTCTTCTACAATATCACTATGAATCAATGGGGAAACCTGCTCTAAAGCAGCCATGTTTTCCACTATGGTGAGTGCCTTGCTGCCCGTCGTCGGCAAATGCGTGCGTCAGGTGTAGCCAATGCAAGATGCTCGCTTCGTAACTGTCGTGGTGAGCTGTTTTTTTTTTCACACTTGGGATATTATTGGTGCGCGCCCACTACCCGCTTACTTGCAAAATGCTCAGATCATTCAGAAATATTGATAGCTCTATGGCCATTCGCCCTGTAAATTGTGGTGAGTGACCGGTGGCGTTCGTTGCAGTTTCGCGCCACGGAGATTTTCAGCCACCTAGCCTCGCTACTTATTTTGCTTGCAATTGTCGCGGCATCATCGTCACTCATCGTGATCATGGTCTTTACCTCGCCCCTAGCGCAGCTATGCGAAGAGCTAGATACGCGGGCAAGAAAGAGAATGCACTACAATTTCGGACAGTGAGAAAAGCTCAGCCCCATTTCATCCTCCGCTTCATATTGTAAAGTGGTGATCACTTCAGCCATGGTCACTTCGGCCACCATGGCGCCTGTTTTATTCACTATAACCTCTTGCGTTGCTTATGTTGCTTTCCGAAACGTACATTCGGTGCTACAGGATTGGAAAAGCTTCGTTTTTCACCTTGTAGTTTTTCTACTGTTCACCCTTCATCATTTCATCCTAACATGCAGATTGTTTACAGATTGAAGAAAAATACTTCTTAATGAACCACTCCTAAAGCTGAGATTCAATTCATCACATCCGGCTTTTTTTTTTCTTTCGTGCTACAGCACTAGGTTTTAGCCAATGGAGCATTTGCGATGACGAATGCAATTTACTACGTGAGACGAAACGAGTTGAATGCTAAAGTTAACAAATCAAGCTTGTTATTCAATAACATTAGTGTTTTTGTGTAAATTAGGCTGAATACGTGTTTCGAAAACGAGCTATTACTAAGCATTTTAATATTGTCAACACATTCTATTTATCTAACCAGGCACTGACACTTTCCCGCCCGATGCTTCGTGGTGGGTTGCGCTAGTTTATAAGGTGTCAACTGACCCATCAAAGTCTTAACTTCATCCTACCGCCTTCGCATGGAGCTGCTGGGCGGCTAGTTGTGTTTGCGGTAATATGCTACGTAATTCAGTTGGCACCTTAACTGATGGTACCGGCAAAGCACTAATTGACCTCGCATTGCATTGTCCAAAACTGCGAAGGGTAGACGGAGAGTTAATAATTATTGAGGTTCATTAACACATCCGTCAGCCTCGAGCCAAATTAGAATGCTTTGTATAACTTCGTTTTTTCTTCCGCTCTATAGCAGAAGGAACATCACGAATGATCATTGCACTTGCAGAAGTGGTCTCCGAGACCGATTCAAGCCGGCAGCCGCCGAATGAAAGACGGCACAGGGAGCGGGAACCAAACACTTTTTACGTCTCACAACCGCGATCCACTTATTTCACTGCCAAATCAAGCAGGGACTAATCGAGAAACTGTAAAACATTGTTCC